TTGGTTCCAACTCCTAGTAACCCTTTATTATTGTTGTTAAGTCGGTTCCGACTCAGAGACCCCCGTACAGGGTTTCCGAGGCTGTAAATCTTTACCGGAGCAGAACGCCTTATCTTTCTCCCGCGGAACCGCTGGTAGTTTCGAACAGCTGACCTTGAGGTTCACAGCCCAATTCGTAACCACTACGCTACCAGAGCCCCTTCGTAACCCTATATAGGGCTTTTTAAATCTTTGCAGGAACAGAATGCCTCATCTTTCTCTTGTGGAGCAGTTCACAGGCTCAAACCATGGACCTTGTGGCTCTTAGTCCAGTGCTTACTACTGCCTGGAGCCACATGCTCCCAAACGTGTTTGTTGTGAAGTACTGTGGAGTCGGTTCTGACTCATAGTGACCCTGCACAGGATTTCCGAGGCTACAAATCTTTATGGGAGCAGAAAGCCTCCCACGGAACATCTGGTAGTTTCAAACTGCCGACCTTGAGGTTAGCAGCCCGATTCGTAACCACTGTGCTATCTGAGCTCCTTAAACATAACTTTAGCATATTCAATAAAGAAAAAAGCTACTGTGGCTGAAACTGAATGAACTAGGAGAGTAATATGTGTAAGGCCTTGAGACCTTTCGAAGGATTTTGCTTTTACGCTGATACTGTGGTGGCTTTGTGTCGTGGAGTCGGTTCCGATTCATAGTGATCCTGTACAAGGTTTCCAAGGCTATAAATCTTTATGGGAGCAGAACGCCTCATCTTTCTCCCGCAGAGCGGCTGGTAGTTTCAAACTACTGACCTTGTGGTTCGCAGCCTGATTCGTAACCATTACGCTACCAGAGCTCTTTAGGAGCCATTTTATGTTTATAAGAATGAATGGTGTGGTATATATATTGTAGCTGCTTTTTTGAGAAAACAGATGCAAGCGTGGAATCAGAAACCAAATAGGAAGGTTTTGGGTCAATCCATATGAGAGTTGATGGTAGTCTGAGCCAGAGTAGTAACCATGGAATTGAGCAGAAAAAATGTGCATGTATTCTGAAGGTATTGCTGACAATTTTACTTGCAGATTACATGAAGTGTAAGAGACTTCAGGATGGTTCTAAAGTTACTTTGTAGACTCACACCATTTACAAGATGTCTGCAGATTCCAAGTTTGTGTTACAGTGTGACAAAATATTTAATGAGGTCAAATAATCCCCTACACCAATGATTCCCTTAGTATTTTAAAATGAATTCAGAGGGAATTTCGATCTGGTTTAAGGGTTTTATCTCTGTTCAAGGCTTTTGATCTCTGATTAAATATTTTGGTCTAGCTGTAAACTTGCCGATTTCTGTGACTTGCACATTTTCATCTTTGCTGTATGAAGCACACAGCTATAATGAGATGTGAGCAAAACACATTTTCCCTCTAAATAGAAAAATCTACACTCCTAGATTTATGCCAGTTCTAACTGATCTTTATGGTGTTTTGACTTTATTGCATTTAAGTTGCACATGAAATAGTCTTCACTGTTACTACCAATTATTTAACTCAATTTCCCAGAGGAATTTTTAAAATAAACAGTAAAAGAGACATTAGAAAATCCTTCATTAGAATGGATGGAAATGAAATCATCTTGCTTCCCACACCCAGCTAGACGGAAAGGTGTGGTAGCTTTTTTCCCCTCTATAGGTTTAAAGTTGTCCAGGCTTGAATTATTCTCAGGAAAGGGACCAGTAACAGGACAGGTCTAGACTGGCCTAGGAGCCAGACAAATGATTTCAGCTCTCCCGAGGGACCTTTTCTTTCCATATGGAAGAGCTTTTCAACATTGTTTTCTTGCTGGGATAAACTAAAAGGCCACCACAGTCCACCTTTGAAGTTACTTTTAGATCCATCCCAGGGAAAAGGGGTTTCATTTATCAGCAAGTATTAGGCCCAAACCCCTTGTGCTTTGGAGGGCTTTGCACTTAAGGTCCGTGTGCCCTGCCTGCATATCCTGGCGCTCCAGTGACCAGCGAGTGCCTACCAACTAACACCCACGCCCCTCCCAACACTTAAACCAACTGCGCTGCAGTCTCTTCTCGGGCCCCGGAGCCCCGCGGGCGGCGCGTCTGCCCTTCTTTGGCCAAGCCGCAGCAGCAGTGTCAGTGTGTCCTCCCGGGCCGCCCCCCGCGGGCGTCAGAGGGAGGCGGGCACCCCGCGCTGTGACGGCGACGCCTGCAGCCGCGGGAACGCACCAGTCATCACTGTCGCTAGAGAGCCTGGTGACCTCTTGGCCGCCCGCCCCGGAGGTTCAGATGGCACAGGCGAAGATCAACGCGAAAGCCAACGAAGGTCGCTTCTGCCGCTCCTCCTCGATGGCGGACCGCTCCAGCCGCCTGCTGGAGAGCCTAGACCAGCTGGAGCTCAGGTACGCGTGGCTGCGGCGCGGGCGCCCTGCTCGCCATGCGGGCGGTTCCCAGGCGGAGGCCACGCCACGGGGCTGGGGCTGGGGCCGGGGCTGCCTGTGCGAAAGCAGCGTGTGCTTGAGGTTTGTTTTGGATGGAGGTGGTGCTCAGATTTTGTTTGCTTCTTGGTGCGTTTTCCTCTTGTCTTAAGAGAAGCATTCCTACATGAGCGAAGCTTATGAGTGTGTAGCCACATTCTCATTCACTTATCTGGGCCTTTGGAACGGAGAAAACAAGTCAGGATAAAAGTTACCATGACATTGTTTTTTAGTAGTGAGTATAGTGCTCTGGATCTACAGAACTTCTAGAACCTTCTCTGTGCCTGTGGTATGGTGTGCTAAATGTTTTAATTTAGACTTTCAACATTTTGCGTTTTTAAGAGCTGCAGCAGTTTATAGTAGCATTCTCTTTCTAAACCGCTTCAGAGGAAACAAAAAACAGGAATCAGTCCTCATAATAGCAAGAATTAGAGAAGAGTGGAATACTGGGCTGGTGGGTATTTTGTGTGATAAACATACTGCCGCTTCTGTTTCTTTGGTAACTACTGTGTTCAGCTATTCCTTTAGTCTCTAAATATTTGTATACCGCCTTACATAGGAGTCACTGCTGACATGACACCTTCAAGGTGCTAGTCACTTTGGCCTGTAGTGAAAACATAGTTTATCCTTTTACCTAATTAAGCTTTCATTAAGTGATTAATATCAACTTTATAGGATTTTAAAATTTATAATGAATTTGGTAAATGCAAGTTTTCATTTAACAGTATATTAAAACTTGTGTTTTCTATCAATGTTTTGATCGTATACAAGTTTATGTACTTTAAACGAAAATCTTATTAAGACAAATATTCTTAACTTGGCATACACAAACCCCCTGAATTGTGCACAGGATTTTGTTTGATTTTTCCCTGTTTGAAAAGGTATATGTGAGCTAGAAAGTTAAAGAAATGTTGTATGTATGTGTTTTTCTCCCCAATTAATATGCCAAAACAGCAAGAGATGTTTGCCCGGAAAAGTAGTTAAGAGCCACTTAGCCCTGAGGCACTTATTACTTCCCCAAGAAGAGTCAGAAAGTGAAAAATTCTCCAACGATTTTGAATGGAAACAGAGAAAAATGAGCCCTAAACCAACTGCTGGGGTTCTGCTCAGATTGAAGCAAATGAAGCAAGAGAGAAATGTTTCTATAGGGATTTCCTCAAAAGAAGTAAACCTGACCCTTTTCAACCCAGAGAAAGTGGAGCAAAACTAGAGATCAATGGCCTCAGCTACTTCCTGTCTCTAAGGAATGCTAGTTCTTTCTGTGCAGCAGTATATAAAATAACTCACACATCTTTGGAGAACACATTTTCTAACTTTTTCGGAATCTCTCCCGATTCAGAAAAAAAGGATTTTTCTTAAAGAAATGAGGAGGGCATGGCCCCACCTTCAAGCTGAGTCATTGTCTTCAAACCAGAAGGAATGTCTCTCACTTGTGGGAAATACAAAAGTAGTGCCTCTTTAGAAGAAAGCTCCTAGTTTTGAGTAATATTATAGTCAAGTGTTTGCTTAATGTAAAATACTGTATACTTTATTACTGAATTGTTGTTGTTAAGCACCATTATAGTAACCCTGTATAGGATTTCCGAGGCTGTAAATCTTTTACGGGAGCAGAAAGCCTCAGCTTTCTCCTGTGGAGCAGCTGGTAGTTTCGAACTGCTGACCTTGAGGTTAGCAGCCCGACTCGTAACCACTATGCTACCAGAGCACCTTATAGATTGAAAATTGGACTTAAAAAGTAATTTTAGGTAGGAAAAGACCCCAGATTCAGGTGTGTTTTATAAAGAGCCCTTTATTAAACCTTAAAGAGAATAAAGACTAGTCATTTTGATGACGAAGACCATTAGCATGAGGACATAATGGTATCCAAAGGATTCATGGCATGTGGCGAACGAACAGAAAACTAAGGAAATTGTCACAAAATCATGATTAATAGTAGATCAAATCACTGATGGTGGGACTATGGAGGTGGGTGGGAACATTAGGACTATGACTGGGAGTATGTACACATTGCAGATTAGAAAAATTTACAAGTTTGGTGCTGGGTCCCTTCTACCATCTATCTACTTGATGGTCAGGGTATGTATTACTCATGATCTTGTGGTGCTGGCATCCCAACTCATTAAAGGCAGATCCCATTAGGGCAAGTTTGCTCCTCCTTGAGCTGGCTAAGGGAGCTTGCAGCCTACTTTCAAGCACACTTTGCCTGAGGGCAAGGCGTTGCCACATTGGTGGTTAATGGTCAGAAAGAATTTAAATGAAAGCTTGTTAAGTGTTGTCTAGTCTGTTCTGACTCAGCAGCCTGGTATACTAAAGCCCCTGGGTTCTGGTTCAGCAATCCTGTGAAGGGTTTCCAAAGAATAAGTTGTTGTTGTTATGTGCCGTGGAGTCGGTTCCGACTCATAGTGACCCTGTACAGAATTTCCAAGGCTGCAAATCTTTACCGGAGCAGAAAGCCTCATCTTTCTCCCGCGGAACAGCTGGTAGTTTTGAACTGCCAACCCTGCGGTTAGCAGCCCAATTCATAACCACTATGCTACCAGAGCTCCTTGAGGAATAAGTAAAGCTCAGGAAATCATTTGGTCTGGCCATGTCAACGCAACCGCAGTTCCAGCCATCATGTTTTTGTGTAAGTGCCATCTAGCCGGTTCTGACTCATGGTGCCCCCTGTATAGGGTTTTCTGAGGAGCAACTTTTGAGTGGGAACCACCACCTTGCATTGCAAACCAACCTACTTATCCAGTTGCTTCTCCTACAGCACCACACCAGGACTCTTAGCCATTCACTATACATTGTCGTAGTTAAGTGCCATGAGTTGGTTCCAATCCATAGCAAACCTGTATAGGGTTTTTGAGGAGCGGCTGGTGAGGGGTGAGTTAATTAAATGTTTAAATATAGCAGGCTAATTTTTAAGTTGATAAGTATATATAGCTCTCTAATTATGTTATAAATTTTAATAGGAAAAAAATTCTCCACCCTTGCTATAGGAGTCCTGGTGTGGCGCTCTGTGTTAATGCGCTGGACTTTAAAGTCAGTTTGAACTGCAAGGTCAACCCTCTATATAGGGTCAGTATGGGTCGTATTTGATTCGATGGCACTTAACAACGACAACCCCTGCTATAGGGTTTTAAGGAGCGACTGGTGAGTTTGAACCACGAACCTTGAGGCTCAAACCGACCTTGTGGTCCAGTGCTTATACTACAACACTAGGACTCCAAATGAAGGCTTAATTTATGCCAATTCTCAGTGAGAGTTAGAACTTCCATTTCAACTCTAATACAATGTTAAATGAAGCAATGGACTCCAAATTTGAAGCAAGAAGCCAGCTCTCCAGACTGTTAACACTGTATACCTAAATTTTCTTAAGACTAAATGCCATATTTCAAAATATAGGAATGAGTATGTTACTGAAAGATGAAAATTCTAGTAAATTGCTGATTATGCACTTTAATTAAGTAAATGGAATCCTAGTGTGGTACTGTAGAATAAGTACTGGACCATAAGATCAGTTTGAACAGCAAGGTTGACTATTCAAATTCACCAGCCACTCCTTGGAAACCCTCTACAGGGTTGCTATGAGTTAGGAATAGACTTGAAAGCATTTCAGAACAACTCAATATATATGGGACACTATGTACCAGGCATTGGGTCGCTTCTAGTAGGCTCTAACACAGTAATGAAGGTGTTTTTGGGCTGGGTTTTAGGGAGTGGAAGGGGTGGAAATGGCAGGACCCCCAGAGATGGGCTGTTTACATATTTCCCCCAAACTTTCCCCTCCTTTTCAGTCATTAGCAGTTGGTTTTAAACAGTAGCTAGATATGAAAATTTGGGACGGAGACTGATGTGAATTATTCGTCTGGTTTAAGGTTTTTTGATAGTGTATGTTGATATCCCAACAGCCAGAATCCAAGAGGACATCATAACTAATATTGTATAAAGGCCTATAATTTAAAAGACCACTTTTCATTTACATTGTCATTTGTACCTTACAAATTCCTTTGAGGTAGGAAGAACACACCTATCTCTTTCAGAAAAGAGGAAGCTGAAGTCCTGAGGGATTCAGTGGTTTCCCCAAGGCCATACCACTAATAGTAGCTCCTAACTCTAACCACAAGTCACATGTCTCTGTAGTCAATGCAATGTAATATTTTGATGATGATTAGAAAAACCCTGCAGAATCTCATATTGCCTAACACATAAGTGATCATTATAGAGTTCTTTTGATACTGAATAAGAGAAGGGATATGATTTTAAGAACTTGATTTGAAACTCTTTCAAATGATAGGAGTATTTGCCATTTCCTCACTTTCTAACAAAAGAATAGATTCTCTTTACGAATAAGCCTGCATTCATAATTATAATTAAGTGCTGTTGAATTTCTTCTGACTCATAGTGGCCCTGCATAGGGTTTCCGAAGAGCGGCTGATGGGTTTGAACCACCAACCTTTTGGTTAGCAGTCCAGGGCTTATTCTACAGTGCCACACCAGGACACACAATTGTTGTTCTTAAGTATCACAGAGCCAGTTCCAACTCATAGTGGCCCTGTATAGGGTTTCCAAGGAGTGTTGGTGGGTTTGAACTGCTGATCTTGCGGTCTAGTACATTATCCTTCAGTTCTACAACAGTGCTCCAGGACTCATAATAATCAGTATATAGTAACTATCATGAAGCCAGTGTATGTCAGCACCAATGCTAGGTTCTTTGTACATTCTTGTTGATCTTAAGTGCTGTCAAGTCAGTTCTGACTCATTGTGATGTTATATAGATTTCCAAGGAAAAGCTGGTGGGTTTGAACCACAAATCTTGTGGTAAGCAGTCCAGTGCTTATCCTACAGTGCTACACTAGAACCCTGTATTTGTACATAGTAACAAATACGATTTTTTTAGTGGATGCTCTCAGTCACTGCTAAACTTTTCATCTGTTTTT